CTTTTTTAAATTATCTTTTAAGAAGTAACCAATGCATCTCTTATAGGCTGCAATTCCTAAGTTATCTTTTAAAATACGCGACGTGGTTCTAGGTGTTATCTTCATCTCCCCAGATAAAACTTTTACTTTCGGACAGGATTTCTTCGAATTCATTCCCTTACTGTTTTGATCGCCTTTTTCGTACGAAAACTACTGCCATAGAATAATGACTGTAACTTAAATTCATCGGATAATACTATCGAATCGGGTTAAATCGGCACGAGTCGTTTGGTTTCGATTTTTGAAAATTATTTTGCTTTTTTATGTGATGAATGTACTTTTAACAAATCTATGTTTCAACACGATTGTCTAATCTCAAAACCCTCTAAAAGATAATTTATAAGAAAACTGTCTCCGGACTTTTGAAAGATACGTTCATACGCATTTCATTTTAAAATTAACCAGTTTTTATTAAAACTCACTAAATTGTGAAATGACATACAAAAGCCAATGTTTGTTTGTGCTAAAGCTTGTTGCTGTTCATATATGAAATAATTTATTTCAATTGTTTGATAATTTACTAAAATTATTTCAGCAGATTTAGAACATAGATCATTCGTTTTAGAAATTGAACTTGGTTCTAAGATTCTTAAGTCGGAATTTTCAGTAATTGGATAACATAGATTAATTATTTTATAAATCGATGTTGCACAATAATGAGTAATCTAGTGCAAGCTAAGTTTTTGATTTACATTCCGGTTTTTGACTGAAATACAACGGCAGTACTACAACGGCTTTAGTTAAGATTACAGACGACATTCGTGATGGAATGGAGAATCAAAAGTTAACGGTGTTAACGTTACTGGATTTCAGCAACGCTTTTGGCACTGTTGATTTTGACATTCTGTTAGGCATACTTCGTTCCCTTAACGTATCTCCAGCGGTGCTTGATTGGTTTCGTAGCTATTTACATGGCCGCCGGCAACGTATACGTGCTGAAAATACAGTATCTACGTGGGTGTCCACGACTGCCGGTGTTCCTCAGGGCGGTGTGCTGTCTCCGTTATTATTTTCTATTTTTATTAATTCTATTACCCAACAACTCTCTTCTTCCTATCACTTGTATGCAGATGATCTTCAAATTTACTCTCAGGAGTGTTTTGAGCGACTTGATGATGCTATTAGCGCTATTAATTCAGACCTGGTGCGAATCGTCCAGTGGAGTAATTCTTTTGGTGTCAAAGTTAATCCTAATAAAACGCAGAGTATAATTATTGGCAGTTCCTTTTACATTTCCAGGATTAAATTTGATAGATTACCACCTATCATATTTGATGGGGTACATGTGCCTTTCGCTGATACGGTAAAAAATCTGGGTATCATCTTTGACAACACATTGTCCTGGCGTCCACAAGTAGCAGAGATTAGCCGGAAGATGTTTGCTGCCTCCGGATCACTTAGGCGGCTGCGCAATTTTTTACCCATTTCCACCAAAATTACACTTACGCATTCACTTCTCTTGCCCCTTCTTAATTATACAGATGCATGCTACCCTGATCTTACACTTGATCTTCTCAATAAGCTTGAACGTCTTCAAAACTTTTCCATACGGTTTATATTTGGTTTGCGCAAATATGACCATGTTTCTGAATTCCGTAGGCAACTTCAGTGGCTCCCCATTCGTAGTCGTAGGGATATGCATATGCTCTCGCTTCTCTACTCTATACTATTCAATCCCATGTTGCCCCCTTATCTCAAATCACGCTTTAAATTTCTCTCATCTACGCATGATCTCTCGCTTTGCTCTTCTAATAACTTACGATTGTTCATTCCTCCCAATCTCACTAAATTCAATAGTCAATCCTTTACAGTACACGCTATAAAACTGTGGAACTCTCTACCTGAATCTATCAGACGGGCGAATTCGTTAAACTCCTTCAAATATCAATTAAAATCCCATTTCCTCTCTAATGTTTAGCCTGCTCTTCTATTTTCTATTTACACTTCTCGCTTTCTAGTTGTCACTTGTGTTTTGAGCATTTTGTTTGTCTCCATGTACTTTTTTTTTTTTTTTTTATGCACAATCTGCCATCTAATGTTTGTTTTTTTTTTCTCCATCTAATGCAAGGTTGCCTGGAAGAAATCGCTGCCTAGCGATAAGGCCGCCTTTTGTACATACATTTTCATGTATTCATTTATGTTTGTTAATGTAATTTTAATATGGTTTGTGCAATAAAGAGTATTTATTATTATTATTATTAAATTTCGCTAACATACTTGGGCGACGGTGCAATATTTATATGGAGTGGAGCGGATCTGATGACTTTGCGACCTTTATAATTAGAGTAATGAACCCCCGTTGAATTTAGGCTATTTTGATTAAAATTCTTCTTCTTTTTAATTAATGGCGTTGCCCTTATGTATTTTTCCAGAACCCAGTGTTTCGTTCAGATTATTTCATAAAGTAAAATATATTTTTGTTCGAAGAATTAAATGGCAATATAAACTGAATAAATGACTGAAATAAATGAATCATTGAAATCTATTAAAGAAGAATTGCTACACGACCGAATGAAAAACAAATACCTAGAAAACTTATAACTATATTGAAATAGACCAATATATATCGTTCCCTTTCAAACAGTAATAATTTCACTCAGCTCCTTTAATGTGCAGTTAACAGTGTGACCATTTACACGCCAATCTAGCTTGAAACTTCAAATGTCATTTCTACATCTACAGCCTAGCAATTATGTAGCTATATAATGTAATATTAGACGGTTTTTTTTTTTGAAAATAATGAAAGATGAAATCAAAGCTATTTTATTATGTTTACCTTTATGTTGACGACAGGATGTCAACTTGTTACTGTTAGAGACATTGAAGGATATGAGTCACGAAGAGCAATATATGAATATGCCAAGACTTTTTCTTTTCTTTATTTGTATTGATATTGTTTATTAACGTTATAATAATATCTTTAAGGCAACAAAATACAGAAATAAGTACAACGTCCAAGCTTTACATAATATATTTTTTTTTCAAATTTCATTACGCACTACCCTACCGTCTAGTCACATAGTATAAAACAAAGTCGCTTTCTCTGTGTCTATATCCCTATGCATGCTTAAATCTTTAAAACTACGCAACGGATGTTGATATGTTTTTTTTCATCGTTAGGGTGATTCAAAAGGAAGGTTTTTATGTATAATACAAATCCACGCGGGCGAAGCCGCTGGCGGAATAAGCAATAGATTTTAGACGCCTGCGAGGACACGTTAGATTTTTCAATCTAGCAGTTCCGCGGAGGTCTCCACCTCCCTACATTTCGGGAATTAGACCCGAAAATACATAGCCGAGTCACCAGGACATATCTTACTAATGAATCCATCTTATGAACTGCCATTGCAAAAGTTTCTTAGCACCCTCTTGTAGTTCCGCTTATTTTCCTATACAAATACGTATCAACAGTAAAGACGCACTCGCTTGATTAATACATTTTTAATTACGGAAAAAACAAATGCAGTTTAATTTTTTTTGTATATTTTAAAATATATCAAAACCGATTATTTTTAAAATACAATACTTCGTGTTTTACTTATAAGTTCTTGTTTATTTAAACTATTGTTAATGTTATAATTGGGAAAACACTATTGCTATTCTGTATAATTTACAATTTGAAATATATTTATATCGATACACCTTTTTTTTAATCGAGTACCAAAAAACCGTATGTAAGAAACTTAATTTACACGATCTCATTATGATTATATAATTTATAAGATTTGTAAACATAATAAGTTTCTATAATTGGCGTCAATGCTGCATACTTTTTTTTGTATAGAAATAACTAAACTGCTGTTGAAACTTTGTTGAATAAATAAATGAACGATACATGAAAAAAACCAGCAGCTCTTGGTACTCTGAGATGAGACTCGAACCCATGACCTTTCACAGTCCGTTTTATGACGCTTTCACCGCTGCGCTACCCAGGACCCAAAAGGAATGATGATGATGAATTTTTCAAGCACTTGTTACTATTCGCTATTAATGAGCGTATTTTTATCAATATTCAGGCAATCCACCCAAACAGCGGAACTAAATATTTTTATAATACGTTATTAAGTAGTATGTAGATTTTAGCCATTTAAAGTAGTTATGTAATTACGTGTAAACCAATATTACAATGTGTAAACTCACAAATAAGTAGCAAATTAAAAATTGATTCTAAATAAGCTCATGAGTAGTTAACTTAATTTTAATTAGCTACTTATTACTTATTTGTGTGTTTACATCTAATAAAATCACTTCAAATTAAATTAAAATTCTAGTTACTACTTAATCAAAACTCTAACGCAGTGATTCTCAACCACTGTGCCGCGGCACTTTTGTGTGCCGCCAAATTTCAAAAGTTTAATATTACTTCATTTGTATGTAGTGTCAATTTATAAATTTGTAAACAAAAAAGCTTTAAACATATTATTACAATTTTCCACATCTTATTTGCGTGAATTCGGATTTTCAGCATTAGCCAAAATTAAAACTAAAAAAACAGATCAAGATTGTTAAATGTAGAAGACAATATGAGAGTAGCATTGTCATTTTTACGACCAAATATAAATGAAATTATCAAAAAACATCGAGCTCAAATTTCGCATTAAAATATTTTTATTATTAGCTTGTAATTAATCCCTTAATAAACGTTTAGTTATTATTGTAGTATATATTAGTTTATTTCGTATATTTCAATTTTTTGTCATAAACTATTTATGCAGTGTGTTGTAGTAAGTAAAATTTTTTATCTTTTTCTTTGTGTGCCGCCAAATTTTAAAATCGTTAAATATGTGCCGCAACAAAAAAAAAGTTGAGAATCACTGCTCTAACGTATTATCGACCAACTTTAAATTTTCGAATGAATGTATGAATTTAAAATGCATTTGTTACATTATCATAAAAACTTGAGTCTCTGAAATGTAAATATTATATAATGTAATCGGCGTGAAAAATATAAATATTCTTACCAAAAAAACAACAGCAGAAAACGATAGTGTACAATGTGATGAATATCGCCCTGATGTCTGTCCTATCGAATATGTATTCGTCATCGCTTAAACTTTCATTGGTCCTAGTGACATTGATATTTTCCAAGAAATTTATCTGCTCCGTTCTATTTGTCGTGCCAAGCGCAAGGCTTGGCCTAAATTTAGAGGCAATAAACATCCTCATTGTGTACATGATTCGTAGGAGGCCGCGGTGGTTGACATGTCACAACAGCCGGCAGCCGGAATATTCTGCCATCTGGAACAAAATGGATTTATGTCACATACGTTTTTGTAAACACCAGAAATGAAACGACATTAAGGTGATGCGTTGTCTATACTAATATTATAAAGACGAAAGATTTAGATTTATTATTAAGATTAGATTTATTAAAGAGAAGATAAGCGCCGCAACCCGCGATCGAAGTCGTTAAGCAACTTTCGCTAGGGTCGGCCACGGGATGGGTGACCAAAAAAATTTATTATCTCGTCTCCGTGCTTCGGAAGGCACGTTAAGCCGTTGGTCCCGGCTGCATTTGCAGTCGTTAATACCCTCCAATCCGCATTGGGCCAGCGTGGAGTGTCATGCCCATCCTCCTTAACCATCCATAAGGAAGGCCTGAGCCCCTGCAGTGGGAACGTAAAAGGGCTGGTGATGATGAGATAGTTCTCTAGAGACCACGCGGATGAAGCCGCTGGTAGACAGTTAGTCTTATATATAACACAAAATTATTACCATATCATAGTTTTTTTTTACTATTTTTTTAAGTTGACTGTAACATATAAGGTGTAATATTATTATATACCAGGATTTCGTGGGGTGGATTAGCTAAGGATGTCGTTGTGTGTATTGTTCAGTACACTTGACTAATCCACTCTACGAAGTCCTTGTATATAATATTAATAAATGATCTTCATCCGTAGACGTCAAACTCGATTAAGAATGGAAATATGGTCAAAAGAAAATAACATTTTATGGAAATTATAATTAACATTTTGTTGAATGATTTTGTAACAGTTTTCTAAATAAACTACCTGTCTTTTGCATGATTTTATTCCTTTTTACGTTTTGATACAAGTTAATTTGATACAAGTTAATAAGTTATTACCTTGAAGTATTTTATTTTTAAAATCACAAGTCCAATAAGTAACGTTGAATTCATAAACTATTTCGTTACTTTATAATACCTATTTAAAGTTTTCATTGAACATTATTTCTGAAGTCAAAAACCTAGTTTTTGACCTAATGTTAGATAATATTTTTATTCTATTTCGTAGTCTACCTACAATTAACATTTTATTATTTTCCTACCAGCCAAAATGAAATATTAAATCTGTAAAGATCTATAATCTGTAAAGATTTGATATTTCATTTTGGCTGCTAAAAATTAAATATAATCGATACATTGTCTGAATGATAGTTATTTTGGTTTCAATTCGTCATTTTATTTCCATCTCAGTTTCGATTCCCGGGCTATGCTATAAATAATATTTGATAGCCTTGAAATTTAAACGATTTTAAATGGAACACTTAGTGCTTTAATTTTACTTGAACTACGCGTTCGATTCGTGATTCGTCTATTTTAATATAATAATATTTGTATTTTTTTTACTTGCAGATAATTATCATAGCTTTTATCTATTATCTTTTATTTTAACTTCATTCTATTTCATCTATCATTTGAGACACACATTTTCATATTTTTTTTTTCGGGTAGATTTTATGAATCTATAGAACCACAGCTATCTTAATTGTTGCAGGCCTCAGGTAGCCGGACTTTTTGAACTTCTGTCCAAGGGCTGTATTTATGTTAACAGGGTTCTTCCACCGGAGCCTATCTTCCTACGCTACTCTGCATCCTACGGGTCGAGTCTTCGTGGTTCACCATTGCTGCTGACCGGAGCTGACGTCGGGTCCACCCTTGCCAGCCCGCTGCCGGGCCCGTGACACCCTAACATCGTGAACTCAACATTAAATTCCTTATTCTACTTCAACTTCAAATAAAGGTCCTCTTAATTGAAGATACAAGAATCGTAATAGCGAATCTGTACCCCCTGAGAAATAAAATGAAGATTTTTGAAACGTTATTTTGTTTTGCTCTTTTTACCTGAAGCCTGGGGGTGCTTCTCACTCCCCCATCAACAAACCAACGCTACAGTTTATATATAAGAGACAATTGATAAGTTATGCATTCACAATTGGAACTACAGGGATAAAGATCTTGTAACAAATACTTAAAATAGTCGTCGATTTCACTAAAGTCTTAAGTAAAGTAACCGCACTTGCGAAATGTTTACCATCTCGAAGTTCGAGTACCATCTCAAGTTTTTCGTTAATATGAACTTTATTTGTATATGGTTAAGTACGAGTACTGCAGGTTTTTCTTAATCAACTATTAAAATTACATAACATCTTTCAGTGCGACAGTAATACCCAGTTGCACAAACGTTCATTAATATTGCTATAGTTTAACTTTAAAGCAATATTAGTGCTACATTTTGTAAAAAAAACATACATTTTTAGTAATCTGTTAACACCGTACGTACTTTTTTATTCTCCACGTCATTTCTTATTGATTTGTACAATTCCCTAACACTATATATATAAAAACAAAGAAGATTAATATAATGAGTTTTACTTTACTGCACACACAGTACTTAGCCAAGTACTTAGCTTAACTAGTTTTGGACTGTCCTCTTATCTGGTATATCTCATTGCTATACAGCCGCTGTCGAGAATAGTCTTTCAAATAGCACCGTGCGAGCTTAAGCGATAAATATTTAAGTACCTTCCCATTCAAATACGACACTTTCTTTTATTATACAAATTGCCCAGTCAGCCATTTTTCATGTAGATGACAATACTCTAAAATAATATAAAGTGAATGGATTTCTATTTCCGTTAATAAACCCAAAAACTACCGACGCAACTTAAAATAAAGTAGTGCCGACCATAGCGAGGCTCCCAAAGCGCAAGGTCATTTGCTACTTTTGTTACTGGTCAATACATCATATATAGCTTTCCGTAGGTGAAAAAATTTGTAAAATCAATCAAGTAATTTCGACTCTGAAATAATCGATCAAAGCATAAATGTAACCGTACTACTATTTCATATTACATCTTAAAATATAAGAAAAATCTTTTCCCGATTAATAGAAATGTACAATATAATGTTTGTGGCTACGCAGTTAATCACGACGAGGTAAATTGCAATTTGGCAACATATTGCTTTTATTTTCAGTCGAAAAATATTGTGATTATGTAACCTTTTGTCTTATTTTCCCGAGAAAAACAGTAATGTATGTTAATCACGAATGTAGGTATTTATCTATATAATTTGTTATAATTGACAATCAAGTGTTTATGAATTAAACCAATATTGAATTTCCTACTTGTCTCGTGCAAAATACTTTAGGTAATTAACTTGATGTTGAGAAATTCTCCGAAACATCTACTGGTATCTAAAGTATACAATATCGATATTTGTTGTTGTATTATAGAATAGGATAGAATAGAAAATTCTTTATTGTTTACATTACAGAAGTTACATTAACAAATTTAAAGTTGTTTTATAAAATAATGTAACAAATGGTGGCCTTATCGCTTAAAGCGATTTCTTCCAGGCAACCATGATTTATGATTTAGACGATTTTGAAGATGGGGGAGTAAATGCAATAAATAACATTAAAAAGAAAATAACCTCAAATAATCTTAGTTAAAAATAGACAACAAAATATGTATTGATTCCATGCATAATACAAATATATACGATATATACGTTAAACACAATATACATACACACATACATACATCTACACACATGCATATATACCTGGAATTGTTATCGGAACTGTAGTCGGCAGTAGCAGGAAATTTCATTGTGAAAGATAGAATTTTTCTACGCTATTTTTAAAAATTTGCAAAGATTTATACCTATAGATAGTTTAAATAACTTCCTTCAGTCATAATAAAGGTATAGATTAACGAGGAAAATAATTTTCTGAGAAATTAAATTCCTTTGCCTTTAAATAACAAAAACGAAAATCATCAAAATAATGATGAAACGTGTCACTGGAGGAATCGTGTAAACGAAAAAAAGGCTTGAATTAAAAAATAAGTTTCATTTAAAGAAATTTTCCTGTTTTTAAGTTTAAATTTTAAAAAAGGAAGTGAAGAGGAGACTGTGTTCGATATCTTTGCAAATTTTAGAACAATTTAAATTTTTTTTAATTGAAAACTTATGGACGATAAGAAACTCATCGAAATCGGATCACAAGTTTTCTTTTTACTTTCACGGAAAGTCGTTAATGCCCTCCAATTTGTATTCAGCCAGTAGATCATGGCCCATCCCCCTTAACCATCTATAAGGAAGGCCTGAGCCACTGCAGTGGGGACCTAAAAGGGGCTTATGATGAGAAAATCACAGAGACAAACGGTAGTGACTCAGCTTATGTTGAATAAGGGCATGCAACTGCTCAACGCTAATTTTCAACTATCTCTCCTTCCCAGAAGGTCAAGTATAGGAATTATAACCTAGAACAAGGCATAGCTTAACTAGCAATCATTTAATATTATGAATAGCTTAAGCAAATTTGTCGTTTCACTAAATATGTAACGTTAGGTAATACCCTACTCAGCACTTGCTTAGATAGGCAACTTTTATCTATGATTTTCCATACCGCAATTCTTTTTCTTTTTGTATGGCCTATTTGCGTTAACATAATTCCAAGTTACTAACTTGATTTTATCCGTTAACACATCCGTTATGGCCAAAGACTAAATAAATATATATGTCACATTACGCAAATACCCAGCGCTAGGCGCCTAACTTTGAGTGTTGCTTAAAGTCTTTAGGTGGCTACTTGTCATTAGTGAAACGCATTTTCACCATAAACAATGCCCAAATATTTAGGTGCCAGAATGGACGACTCCTAAATTTAGTGAAAAAGGGCAAAAAGAGTATTGATAATACTCTTTTTGCAATATTACGTTTGCAAATAAATATCAAGTAAACACCAAAATATTCTTCAATATTTCGTCAGTCTAGTAATGTAGACTATGGAGAATTATCTATACTGTGGATAAAGCCAGATTTCAACACGTTTCCTTCCAGGAGACAGTACTAATCTCAATATAATAAATATTCAGTCACCTTCAAAATTATCCCTTCCCTTCATTACCGATCTTTGCTTTTAAAGCTTGTCGCTATAAATCAACTCGTTGTAGTAGTTTTTATATAGAAATCAGTAGGTTTTACT